CAGTTGCAACCACAGCAAGCACAGCTGCAGTTGGATCCACACTAGCAGGTGTTGCATTTGTAGCCTCCATTCTCAGAACCTGACTCCATCTCAAACCCTCTGCTTGTGGCAAGCCAAGACTGAGCACACATTTCCATCACAGATGAAACACCTAAAACTCACCCTTTAGTAGGCGCAGCAGCAAAGACGATAGTCTGATGGTTGGTGTTTCCCTCCATCCCTAAATCAAGCCGTTTGTTGCACCTGCACTCGAGAAACTATGCTCAGATCAATCAAATGGTCGGATGAATTTTCGAGGAGGTTTTCAAGTGCTGTTTGGATTGGAAGAAGGAACAGTAAAGGAAAATGACAGAAACCGATGGTGGTGATCGCCACATCCATTGCCGCAGTTAAGGGCAGAGTCACACCCACATTTCCCTCGAGAAAAATTCTCTAATCAATGAAACTTCTTTCCATCTTTCAGGTATGATGAAGAGTGAGATTGCATCAATTTCAACCCGAATGGAATGATCATTAAATTTGATTGTATCAGCTTGCTTCATTTCATACTTATGTTAGCACTTAAAAGAGGAAGGTAAACAAACAGCAATCCAAGCTGACAAATATTAGAGAACATTCAACTCAAACAACCTCAGGGCTGTCATAACTTATATATACCTGAAGTAAGTTCATAAAAGGAGACTTCCAACCTAAATAAATGCATTGGGAAATAAATTAAACAACAAATATATGATACAGCCAAAGGTACAGTCTGTTTGACTAGAGAGCATAAAAGGAAGAAACAAAATGCAGAAGAAAGCACCTAATGGATTGAAATTGATTCAAGAAATAGCTATCCACAATACATTTGCCAATTAAGCATCAACAGAACGCCTTGAAAAGCATTTTATCCATCAGTGGAATTTGACTGTACACAAAACACCATGCAAGTGCCAACATACACTGATAACTCAACCAGTCTACTCTTCTGATCATGAACAAGTTTTTTTTAAGAGTACAAAATTTTAGAAACCACCAACATGTTGCCTGGTGTTGGTGTATCTTCCTGATGAACCACCATCCCCATATGCTGATCCGGCAGCACCCATCCCAGGGCATTCACTAGCCCAGTGCCCAGGCTGTTGGCATTTGAAACAAATGTTGGAACCAGTACTTGAGAATCCACCACCTACGGACTGGCCCTGCCTATTTACGCCTCTCGGACAATTCTGGAAACTGTGACCATTGGAGCCACAATTGTTGCAGAATGCTTGAACCTCATTTCTAGAAAAACTATGTTTCATGTTGCCACCATAATCATTTGCATGCTGCACAAACTGACTTGTTGCTCCCATTCTGTATCCATCGGAACTGCTATTATTACCAAAGTTGTTCCTTACAGAATGGATATTGCCAAAGTTAGATTCACCAGTACCATAGGTAATATTAGCCATTCCAGAAGTTGAGGCAGAAGTTCCATACGTTCCTTTAGATGCACTGGGATCTTCACTCGAAAGCTTCTCAATCAGACCCAAAAGATACTTGCTCTCAGACGATGGGTTTATTTTCTCAGCTTTGACAACAGTTGATTTCACACGCTGTTCATCACTAAATGTCTCCTCCTTAACTTTCAACTTGAATAAATATTGATGGAAGAGCACTGTCCGAATAATTTCAGCAAACTTTAAATCATCTTGTTCTTCATATTTCAACAAGTACAGCTCCTTTGCAGTGACACCCAATATCTCCTCACCACATTCTTGGAATGCTGTAACCCAGGTCATACCTGTATGATCCTGGATCTGAAACTGGAGCAGATACCTATAATCACACTCAGGAAAACTCTGATCACAACGATCACAATGCCAAGTGCCATCACCATTGTTGTTAACCTTCTTATTGCATGGCCTATCCCCTACCATCAATGGACAAGCTGTATAGCAGAAATTGTCAACCTTTATGAACGTGATGGTTGCCTTTACGGTTATCCAGTCAGGTTTCTCGGATCGTCCTAAACCCTCATCCTTAATCTGTGAGACTGTCTTCCTAACATCATTCCTACCCGTGGTTGTTGTCTCCCTGGATATTGAAGCAGCAGTCATACTCTTCCCTTCTCTATTATACCAGTCTCTCAATCTGTGAGCCTCGGGAAAATCAGGATTTATAAATAGTTGGCTTGAGCCAATAGTAGTTACTGACTTCCCATTAAAATCACTGACTCTCCCAGTTTTAATGGCCAATACAGGACATACACCAGAGTCACACATATGTTGAAGTTGCTGACCCTCTATGCTGCAGAACTTACCCCACATAGTCATTTCCACAATACGACCTGACATATCCTTTAATTGGAGAGTTTGTTTATTGGTTTCTGTGCCATTTTTTCTCATTATCGAAAGCGAGGGATTTATTGACACCACGATGCCAATAACATCAACCATGGTATTGTTTTCCAAGCCTTCAATTTCATTTATCGGCCGAAAGTTGAACTGTTGCTTTGGGATGGTGTTATCTTCCTCTAAACATGGTTGGATCACTGATTGAGCCTCTAAAAATATTTCATATTCATTGTTCAGATGATTAAAGCTCTTCTGCGCAGGCTTCAAGCTTCCTTTGGAGATCAAGTACACTTTCCCCACTTCAATCTGATCATAGAACTGGTCGGCTACCACGTTAAAGCAAGTAACACGTATTTCTCCACCATCTGAATCCAGGAGATCAAAAGAGAAGACTTTCCCTTCCCCCCTAGGATTATTGTAGCGCCGAAGTTCACTCTTGGTTGTCACTCTTGCCTTAATTGTCCATCTGCCCTGGTAAGGATTCAAAGCAGAAATAGGAATAATGCGAGCAGGAGCTTCATTCTTGGCTATAGGCCCTCTATTTGTGTACAGCGGTGGGGGTTGCTGATAAGCAGGCTGAACTGGACGCCCATAGGAACTAGCAGGAGGTCTAAATGCTCCAACAGAAGCTGGATTTGAGAACCTCTGGTTTTGATTACCACTGTTCGGATGTGATTCATAAAACCTCCCGATACCTTGTTCAGCTTTTGGCTGTTCAATATTCGGACTATTCATGTTCCTGCTCGACATGGGACCACTACCATAAGAACCACCAAAAGATGAGTTGTTTGTCATAGGCTCTGACTTGGGATTAAGAGAAACTCCTGCAACATTTTGTCCGCTGTTAGATTTGCTAGAATTTGGACCACCATAAGTTTGAGGATTCACCGCAGCCTTCACAGGTTGATCTGTACTGGATGGCTGAGCAGGGATAGGAGCTCGGTTTTGTGAAGCAGGACCATTATCATACAATTTTGGTTCTCCAATTCCATTACTACTGCTGACAAGGACTTCCAAGTTGATAACAATAATGATTCTGGATTTAAAAGTCAAGAGGTAAACAAAGGCACTGAGAAATAAACCATACACATACATAAACCACCACGCATATCAAAACCTTGACTAAAAGGAGAATTTGGTTACTGATATTATATAATAGATATGTTACTCTCAGGTGATAATCATCATCTACCATTATGAATGTGGGATTCCCAATGACTCGAGAAAGGCAGAGGAAGTAAGAGATGGAGAAATGGGAATATTGAAAGCCTAGGGATCCTACTTCATCAGTAAATATATAATCAAATTCCACCATTTTTTTTCAGAAAAACATAAAAAAAAAATATACTCTGCTGGAGTACTCCACCCTAACAAAGAAAGACTGTCATCGAAAATAAAAACTAGTAACACTCGTTGAAGGTAAAAAGTATTACTTTTATATCTTAACTAAAGCTTCGGGTCTATTTTCTAATTTGGGGTTGAATCTTTTGATGATCAAAACTCCGATCTTCAAAAGGAATACTCCCCAAACAAACAATAATCGTCATTTTGAATGAAAAATTAGAAATATTTATTAAAGGTAAAAGCACTTCGTTTCTTTCTTATCTGAAGTTTCATTTCTCTCATCTCATTAGGAGCGAATAATTCGACAGCAACACGAATTCAAACAATCAAAACTCCTGTAATCTTCAAGACATGGCTCATTTCAACATCAACAAAAAAGTCACAATACTAGGAGATCAGGAGGCATTCACCTGCGGTTCTGGATGACGTTACAGATGAACTCGTTGAGCTGAACGATGGAGTACTTCTGCAGTGCCCCCGACTTAACGAGTCCGTTCATCTGCGTCGCGAGCATGGCCTGCTGCATGTGAGTTCCGTCGGACAGCAGCATCCGGTACCGCTCCGTGGTGCTCTGCTGGGTGTTGACCAGCTTCACGTCCCACACCTGCACCACCGGCCTGGCACCCTCCTCCGCCCGCCCCTCCGAAATCGCCGCTATTGCCCCCTGCGTCAGATCCACCGCAGCCATCCTCTTTTACCTCCTCCTCGTCCCCTTGACTCACTTCAACAACAGATCGAAAACCTAGAACCGAAAATTGAGAAGAAATCAATCCAGTTCGAGTTCGAGATCGAGATCGAGCGAGAAGAGCGAAGCTTCAATAGCAGATGAGAAGATTAACAGAGGCGGTTGAGGGCTGTTACAGTGGATTAGATGGCTTAGGAACCCCTCTTCGCCGATCGCTTCTCCCGAGGCGCCAGATGCGGTGACGGGTGCTTTCGAAAGAGCCCTAATAGTGGATGGCTTTTAAGGGCCGTCGAAGAGGAGCGAACCGACTCAGTTTGAGAGGGAAAACCAATGAAATCGAGTTTTGGAAATTTTGAGTTCCGGTGGGCTTCGCATAGTAGGCCTTCCTTTCTTAGTGAGACATGGGCCCATATATGTTAGGCCTAATTTAGTTTGGACACTCATATTAATAATAAATAAATCTTCCGTCACAATTCGAGATTCGGGCACACCTTCGATCTGACGGCTGCCGTTCTCTTTGATGCCCGCGGTCAATCATCTAGGACGCTCATCATACGTAGGGGCACACTTGTAATTCATGACAGGGGGACACACTCCCCTGTCATATAAAGTGATCGTATTCTCACGCGACCCTCAATTCGATCGAACACAGGCGAATGTCTCTTTCGGGTTTGAGCCTCGTCGCCTCTCTTGTCAGATAATGGCCTGGAAATTCTTCGTCGGCGGCGACTGGAACTTCGTAATCCTCGAGTGTTCTCTTTCTCTTTTCAAAGTTCGGGATCGGTTCTTTGCAGCACTTCTTCTGTGGATCTCTGTCTTAATTTGTTTTGGTTTGGTGAAGTGTAGTCCGGCCTGTGGATCTTCGTCGTCTATGCTCACGTCTTGCTAGGATCCGTCTTGATGTTAACTATCCATCTGCAGGATTGTAAGACTTTGTTTTTGCAATTTTCCTTTTCTTCCCGTTGTCTTCTGGATTCCGAGCCTTCCCATTCTGGTTCAACCGATTGCCTTCTGATTTGGGGGCAAAAGAATATGATGGGGAACTCTGATGTAAAATGTGTTTGCCTTTTGGCTTGTTCGCAGAATGGGACCAGCGAGGAGGTGAAGAAAATTGTCAGCACTTTGAACGACCGCAAAGTTGCATCAGCTGATGTTGTTGGTATAGATCTCGATCAAATGTTTGGAACTCGTTTGGTAATTTTGTACTTATTATTTGGACGCTTCCCCCTTTTGTTGGATTTGGAGTGAGGATATATCTTGGTCTCGGTGATATTAGCAACTAAAATCTTTAATTCGTTCAAATATGTAGCTCTTGCTGGTTGATTGGTGAGCTCTTGGATGACTGGTTCTTAACAAATAACCTTGTCCGGTTCAGTGTGAAGGCTAGTTTTGTGTTTTTTGGATGGTGGCATTTTAAAAGTCATTATAATTCCTTTACATTGAGTTATTGAAATCTGATTTTAAACTTCCAATGAGATTGGATTGTCGAGCTGAAATAGTTCCGTATTTGTTCGTGTTTTTGAACCCAATGCTTAGCAACTTCGCCCTGATGTTTTCTGTGAGTTAGTAATCGAAACGAATGATGTATAGCATCTTGCAATTCTGAGACTATATCTTCTGTATTCAAACCTTCAGTTCTGTGTAATCGTTGGTATTAGTCCTTCAAGTGGGTTGCTTTTCACATTACTGTTACTTTCATCTTGGAAAGATTCCTTAGAATTTAATGAGTGAAATATATTGTGCAGGCCTGCAATAGATATTGTGCGTGTTCTTTTAACTGAGCTTGCTGTTGATATACAACCTTTATAAACCCATATATGCTTGCGTATTATTATCTCTATAGATGTTGTGGTCAGCCCCCCGTATGTCTTTCTTCGTATTGTCAAAAGTTTGTTGCGCCCTGATTTTCATGTTGCAGCACAAAATTGTTGGGTCAATAAAGGAGGTGCTTAGGTGAGATTATGTATGAGTTATCTTGCTTGACGAGTTCATATTGTTCATTGCTCTCTTTTTGAAGAGAAGAATAACTATTGTTTATGTTTATGATTTGTTATTGGATAAATTGACATATCTGGTTGGTCTGTTTGACAAAAATTGATGTTAACTGTTGCTTTGTTCTAGGTTTGATGTGGATCCACACAATATATTTTGTATTTTAACATTGTTTATTCCGATAGTTGTTGGTTTATTGTTTATGAAAAGTTAATTTCTTTTGGCACAACAAATAAATATTTTGACAAGTAAATTGGCTCAGACTTGAACTCTTTATTTTATGCATTATCAACTTGTAATAAATTCTTAAATATTTAAATTGTAAATCACATTACAAGGCAGTGTAAATTGTAAATCATGTGGAAGAGAACTTCCGCAAGTATACAGGATGCAACTTGCAGTATATTAGGTCTCAGGAGACGGAGTCGAGGAAAGGTTGGTCAGGGTATGAACTGTAAGGTCCAGTGAGCTTAGGTGCCGACTCTAGGTCTCCTTCCTGTTTCTGTTAATTCATTTGTAGTATTTTTATGTCTTCAGCTTTAGTTATTGATATCAGTGAAAATGTTTTGTTTGAATGTCCATTTCATTGCCTACCTGCTTGTCTACTAGGTTATAATAATTAATGTTGTAAAAAAAAACTTGAACTCTTATAATTTGATAAAAAAATTCCTTATTGCAGTGCTGAGATGCTTGTAAATCTTGACATTCCTTGGGTCATCCTGGACACTCTGAGCTAAGGCTTTTGTTGGGTGAATCAAATGAGGTAATATACCTGTGGACTAAAAATATATATTTAAATCCATTAAGTACTCTAATACAATTCTTTATGAAAATTAAGAGACTTATATGCTGGTTTTGCATTATGTCTCAACAAAGATGTTCCATTACATTAGCAGTTGTAGTCACTCCTGCCAGAAAGGAATTTGTTCATTGAATATCTTCTGCTGTTAAGTTCTTTGGTAGAGTAATCTTGCAGATTTGTTTCTAGTCTTTTTTTAACAAAAATATTCTCATTACTTCAAATGCAAATCAACTGAAGTTATAATCAGAACTTTTTTAGATTTTCCTCCCTTCTTATTTGCATTTATTATTTTCTGGGTTAGTTTGTTGGAGATAAGGTTGCATATGCACTCTCTAAAGGGATAAAGGTGATTGGTTGTGTTGGTGAGACACTTCAGTGTGAGTCAGGAGCCACCATGGATGTCATTGCTGCACAAACAAAAACTATTGCAGTTACTCTTCATGATTTATCATTTAGTCTTGTGGGTTTAGTTTTGATGATATGTCCACCATGATTGGAGCGTCTGTATCAAGTGCTTTACTATTTGTTGACATATATAACCGAATTTTACTCTTACAGAGTGCATTTCAGACTGGACCAATGTAGTTCTGGCTCATGAGCCGGTTTGGGCAATTGGAACTGGGAAGGTTGCTACTCCTGCTGGGAGGTAAGTTCTAGACATGATTATATGTCACCTGTTTGTGTTCTGTGGATGTTTGTGCGTGCACATGCAAATCTATGTTATCTGCCTGTGAACATGCAGTGATACTGATTTTTTTCTGTGACTTATTACTTTCCAAATTTTATTTTTCTTTGTATCTCCTTTGTGTATTTGCTCCATCGTTTCTCAGGTTGACTCTGAATTATGCAAGTGGCTTCAGATAAATGTGAGTGTTGAAGTTGCAGAATCAACTAGGATCATTTATGGAGGTAAGTCTTTGTTGTTAACTTCTTTTTTTCTTCCTTTTTTTCACTCATTTCAAAATGATTGTGAGAAATGTACTTTTGTCAGTTTTGAGTTGCATCTGACACTGAACTTGAAGTTGCTTTTTGCATGTTCCATTTCTTTGTGTTTGCCTTGTTTGATCAAAGCCATATAAAGTATTACTTTATGTTACAAAATGTTTCATAACACTAGGGATAAAATTCCTGCAGGTTCTGTAAATGGAGCTAACTGCAAAGAGCTTGCAGCACAGCCTGATGTTGACGGATTTCTCGCTGGAGGTGCTTCTTTGAAGGTATGTGTCCTTTTTTCCTCGTTAACAATCACCTGGATTTTTGTCTTCAATGAACAGAAAGGCATCATATGCAGTGTGCAACAAGCAACTCTTTTTTCGTATAACCAAAATTCTTATAACAAAAGATCAGTATTGGAACTATACAAGTAGATACTGCTAAGCACCATCCATAGGCAACTCCTGCACTGTTCTCTAGAACTGATTGGCATTTGCATGACTATCAATATGCTAAAATTATCGGCCATCATTGTCAAATTAGTTTGCCTTTCTGGTTTGAGAAATGTGAATGCAGTTCATAGTTTAGAATCTTTAGGTCGTTCTATCATGGCTCAACTTATACTAAATTTGAGCTATAATTCGGGTGGATTAACTATTGTGTTGATTGACAACCATGACATGGAAATACAACTTCAATAGAAACGTGTATGTCGGTATTGCTTTGCTTTTACTAAACGCACATATGATTTCTACAGTGAGCAGTTGACCCTTGTGGTTTTCAGGTACCATTTGACTCTTGAAATGTTTGTTGTGATGGCTTGAAGTCTCTCATCTTTCCTCTTTTTCTTGTTAATTTCCAGCCAGAATTTGTGGACATCATCAATTCTGCTACTGTTAAGTCATCTGCTCGAGGACTTCTGCCTCGCTCGATCGAAGACCCATGAATTGACCTGTGAATCCGTGATGAAAACTTGTGGTTTCTTGCTTAGAACTGGAGCTAAGCAAGCACTACGAATATGAAATAGTCATAATTCGGATTCTGCCACGTTCTTGTCGGCGTAGATGATATTTATTTGCAACTAATTAGATATTTAGTTTCCTTTGATGGCAGACTATTAAAGACTTCATCTTAAATTGGCATTACTGAAAGATACCAAATTTTGGATCGCCTTCTGACATTTCAAGAAAACTTCTAATTGAGATTTAATGTTAATGATTATGCACGAGGGATGTTGATGTTAAAGAGGAAGATAACAACAATCTTAATTATGGTGTGGGTATATATATGGATAGGAAGAAAAAGATTATATTCCATTAAAAGACTTAGCTTTTATATAAGTTAAGTCAACCAACCTTTCCCTTTGACTTGCTTTTACAAGTGAAATCTGCAGGTGGCGGCACGCGAATGCTGGTTGCTGGACGAGAAGCGACCGCCATTCGCTTGTTCAACGTGAAGACAAATCACAGCCGTAGATATGCATCGCGATCGATGGGGAGGCACAGCATCTGCGCTTGCCACATGCATCGTGTTTGATGCGTTACAGCTATTAAGCTGGAAATAATCACCCGGAAGGTCTTTCATGGGTGATTCAGCCTCTCCGAAGAGCGCTCGAGTCATGATCATCAGCGGTTCGTAAGGGTGGATCTCGCATCGCCCTCTATTTCATCGCATCAGCCAAATGGTTGGTTTCGATTGGCACGATACCTACGGTCCTTTTTCCGTTGGGAACGGCTAATTAGCACGCGCGCACGAGCTCTTACTCGAAGGCTGAGGTGGATCCGCTACGGTGTAACTTGCAAACTAAACTATCAAATTCCACCACTCGCACTGAGTCATCATCCGTTGACGTGGACCCCACAATCATGTTCGGTGCTTGAAGCCGGTGAAGCACTTTGATTGTGCCCCACGGTGGGATCCGAGCGGAGTAAATACCCGCACGGCGTCCGCGAAAACGGAGGGTCAGAACCGGCTTCAACTCACCTTCGCCCCCTACAGTAGAAGTTCACAAGCAGTCCTAACTGGAAACAATGGAGGAGCGAGATGTGAGAGATGGATAATGGACGGTAAAGATATGATGATAGAAGGATCTCTCCTCCGATCATTTCTTTACATAAAAGAAATGAAATAACAAAAACGTCCTCGTCTTCCGCACCTGCCTCCGTCGAAACGCTCGCCTTCGATACGCTCGCTCCTCAATCTGTCGCTTCCTAGCCCCTAAACCCTTTCCTTCCGGATTCCTCCCTCTTTTCCCCATTTGTTCTTCACTCTCTCTCTCTCTCGATCCTCAGATCTCTTATCTTCCACTGCAATTGCTACTAGTGCGATGGAGGCCGGGTTATTATCGGACGAGGAGGACACGGATGTGAGTGATTCTGAGGTCGAGGACTACGAGGAGGAGTGCTACCAGGCGCTGAAGACCGGTAACCATCGGATCCGCAACCCCGACGGCACCTTTCGATGCCCATTCTGCACCGGCAAGAAGAAACAGGACTACCAATTCAAGGACCTCCTCCAGCACGCCACCGGAATCGGCGCCTCCAGCTCCCGCAAGGGCTCCCAGAAGGCCCACCACCGCGCCTTCGCCCGCTTCCTCCAGCTTGACCTCGCCCCCTCCCTCTCCCTCCCTCCCGCCCTCAAAGCCGCCTTCGCCGCCGCTGCAGCTGGCGACCCCTCCCCCATTCAATCTCCTCCTCCCTCTTCTTCCTCCTATTCCGCCTCCAAACCTCCCCGCGAGGACGAGCTCTTCGTCTGGCCCTGGATGGCCGTCCTCGTCAATGCGCCCCCCGGTGCCGCCGACGGTGACGACCTCAAGGAGAAGCTCTCCGACTTCAACCCCGTCGACACCGTCCACTTGCATGAGGAAGACGACCTCAACGGCAAGTCCACGTGCGCGACCGTCATCGTCAAGTTCCTCAAGAACTGGGGCGGGTTTAAGAACGCCATGGACTTCGAGAACCATTTCAGAGCCAGCCATCGCGGAAAGAAGGAATGGGCCGAACGGCAGGGCGACGTCTCTGGCGTTCTGTTTGGGTGGATTGCGAGCGCCGAGGATTACAATGCCGGGGGCGCTCTGGGTCGGTACTTGAAGAAGCACGGGGACCTGAAGACCATCCTGCAGGTCATCAAAGAAGAGTCCAAGGAGACCGGTAAGATTGTCGCCATTCTTGCGAACCAGATCGACATCAAGAATCAGTACTTGCATGACTTGGAGGTGAGGTACAACACGACCAGCCACTCCCTCAGTCGAGTGATGGGGGAGAAAGACCAGCTTCATCAAGCTTACAACGATGGTATGTCCATATAACTACTACTACTACCGTAAATGGATTTGATGAATGAAATCTTCTCATTGATAAAATGGATGCTTGGTGTGGTTCTCCCTTTTTTCATTTACACAAAGTATGATAGACCTAGCTTAACCCCAATAGCTTGTGATAATTTTTTTGGAAAATAAATGCGAGTTAATAAGATCATATGCATACTTTACTAAGCAAATGCTACTGATGATTTGGTGAAGTAATTGTTCTCCTCTGTACCCATTAGAGAAGCTTTGCAAAGAAAAAGATATGGGAATGTTCTTTACCTTTATGATTTGTTAATGTTGGTTTGTCTAGACTTGTCACCAACTTGTTCTTGAGGCAAGATGTAAAACATTTCTACTCACAAGTATGGTCTATTTTGTGCATGCGTTAAGCTTGTACTTAAATACTCTTCCACATTCTTTTAAGCAGTAACAGAGTCCACCCTGTGATTGCACTTTTGTCTTCCTTTAATCTGAGATTCCTTCTTGGTTCCTCTTTTATCAGAAATGCGAAATTTGCAGCGCAATGCAAGGGAGACTACTCGCAAAATCTTTGACGAGAATGAAAAGTTGAGGATGGAGTTGGATTTAAAGAGGAAAGAAATTGATTTGCGGTGTAAAGAACTGGATAAGCTGGAAGCACAAAATGAGGGCGATAAAAAGAAACTGGATGATGAGAAGCAAAAGGTAATTTCTATATGTTTCAGGCAATTAATTTTCATTTGATAATTCCTTAGGGGATAAGTTTTAGTGGCATCGTGAAAATAAATATAGCCGTGTTGTCATATGTTTCTTAGATGGTACAGAAATCTTGAAAATCGCTTCAACATGCTAAATGACTACTCTAAAATGTCAGTGAGGAACAGATCTTGTGCAATTTAGTCTCCCAACCTGCAGAATTCGTGTTAGAGTAAGTTTTTTCTCTGGCATAGTTGGATGCTCCTTTAAGATTATTTTCAGAAACTCTCATATTTGGATAAGCATATCGATGTAAAAGAATGGACCTTGGATTAGCCTCAAGATGATGGATTATTGTTTCATTTCATCAGATTCCTATGATATAAGATTCTTACTTCTAACACAACTTATAGAACAAATTAACTTTATTGAGAAAAAATCCAGGAGATGCTGATCCACAAATAGCTATATACTGAATCTCTAGGATACAAAATATATATTAGTAATCATTAATGTTTTAAGGAGTTCACATTTCTTACATATCCCTCGACCATCTAATCAAAAACCCCTTCTTTTCCTTTTTTGATAGTGAACTCTTCTTCGGCAAATTATTGTTTTTCACTCTATAGATGGAAGTGTGTTCTATACAAGCTGCCTTGCCCCTTGGTTTAGTTGTGTTTTACTTTAAAAGTCTTGGTGGATGGACTGACTACTTTATACTATCCTAATGGCAGGTTGAATTGGCAACCATTGTGCAAAAGGAAGCTGAAGAAGAAGTCTTGAAACTGGTTGAAGACCAAAAGGTCATTCGTTATGTGTGCGTATATGATTTTATTCTTAATATTCTACAATCTTATATTCTGATGGTGTCCTGCAATGTGAATCATTCAGAAGGAAAAAGAAGCTGCTCTTGCTAGAATACTTCAGTTAGAGAAGGAGCTGGACCAAAAACAACAACTGGAGCTAGAAATAGAAACATTGAACTGGAACTTAAGAGTTATGAAGCATTTGGAAGGGCAAAATGATGCAGATATCCAGGAGATGGAACAAAAATTGGAAAGAGAAAGGGAACAACTAGAATTCTTGAATAGTGCTCTCATAAGCAAGGAACGCCAGAGCAATGATGAATTACAAGAAGCTCGTAAAGAATTGATCAAGGTGTGTTTCCCTATTTAAAATAAAATGTATTCTGCTCCATTTGTTCATGTTCTTTTGTTAATATGTGAAATATAGATACTCTCATTTGCTTGACTTTGATTGCTCTCAGAATTTGAGTTGATATTTAGGGTTTGGAAGACTTATTGAGTGGTCGTACTTTAATTGGAATAAAAAGAATGGGTGAATTAGACGAGAAGGCCTTTCAAAATGCATGCAGGAAAAAATATAAAGCTGAAGAGGCTGACATCAAAGCTGCTGAGTTATGTTCTAGCTGGCAAGAGGAACTGAAGAAACCAGCATGGCATCCATTTAAGATTGTTACGAGTGACGGAAAGGAACAAGTAACTTTGCTAATCACTGTTTTTCTTTTTCTTGCCATGTTTAAATTTTACATTTGCATATATTTTTTGAGTCATATTTTGTATATACAGTTATTAGAATTTATTTAATGGAATTGAACAATTTATTTTAGTTGCAAACATCTTTGTTAGGGCATGATCAAAGTTCATAAAAATGATCTTTTTAGTTAAATTTCCTTTGTCATATTTTGCTTGCCCATGTCTTCTTAGATTGCTTTGGTCATAAAACCTTGATATCACATGGCTTGAATACTGGCTTGTTTTTGGTCTAACAATCATTTGCTTCTGATAAATAATTGATTGTTAATTCTTCTTTTTGGATGTTGCAGGAAGTCATAGATGAGGATGATACAAATCTGAAAAAACTATGGATTGAGTTGGGCGATGATGTATGCAATGCTGTTAAAACAGCTCTGGTTGAGTTAAATGATTATAATCCCAGTGGAAGATATGTCATACCGGAACTCTGGAATTTTAAGGAACGACGCAAAGCAACTATGAAGGAGGTCATAGTAGCCATCCTAAAGCAATGGAGGAGCCAGAAGCGCAAAAGATGAGAAACCACAGGTTGAGTACAAAATTTCTTTAAAGTCCTTACCATCATTTCTCATTTACGGAGTAAAGTCAGCTAATACAATGCTTAAATTGTGGTCAGAAAAGCAAGAATTCACAAATGTTCTTGGTTTCACCTGTCAGCTGCTTATGCTTATATGGTTCATGAATCATCATATGCTCATTCTTGCCTAATAAATGAGCCAATGGACACTAGAATAGCTTATTAGATCACAGATCCTACAGGAACACAGAACGATGATAAAACCATGTTTGATGCAGGATATTTAGCGGTTAAGTGGCTGGGGATGAAGGCTAATAATAGCAATTTTTGCAAGAAGATGGGGAGTCGAGACGTTCCTTGTTCTCGATCAATTTGGTAGCTTGTACTAACTTGCAAGGCATCTTTGGATAAGCTATTAATCCTCTCACACTTGTGCTGTAATGTAATACTCTGGCTGAGACGATGTCGGTACGGTCCTACAGAAGATCTTTCTAACTACCTTAGTGTATGTATCATGAGAGTTCCCACATTGCTTTTGTTGTGAGTTCTTAATGTATGCACCATGCTAATGCCTAGTCTTCTTCTCTTATTTGTCTTCCATTATAAGGTAAGCTTCAAATCTTTCTGCAAGCCTAAGTTTTACTTAATATTTGCTTGTTCTTCGGATTTTAATCCGTGGACACAAATTTGTCTGCTGTGGTAACTCACCCATTAACTTTTTATATGGTGCAGATCCAAAAGATTTTTGAGATGAGTTCTTTTGGGGGTCTAAAGGTACGCTCACATGTTTTTTATTTGCAGAAAGAAGATATGTTTCTTGTCGTTCATATCATTCGTGTTTTCAGATGAAATGACAGGTCGACAATGCAAATGAAATGGCCATCCCTTGGAACGAGAAAAGGCTGCCACCACCTGCTTCAAAGCTTCTTTGACCTGGAGGTATCATGTCCAAGTTCGTATCTCCTTTGAATTGCAGATAATTTTCAGAGTTCTATTTTCAATCCAATTCTTAATTGAATTCTCAATGCTTTTTGTCATTGCCTCATCATGACTTGCACATAATTTTCTTGACATCCATAATGTAAAATATGTCAGGATATAAATGCGTCTAATCATTTTTATTCATTAAAAATAAAATGTTACAAGATAATCGGTGTCAACCAATTTTGTTTGTAAAAATTTTGATAATCTATCTTAAGATCCTCATACCTTTTATAAAAAAAAATATCATGTTACTTTAATAAAAATTATATAAACTAGAGATGAGAGGGCTTATTATTTATTACAGATAAATGTGTCCTATATAAGCTCATTGATTATGGTGAACAGTAATCCAATCACACCTCAAACATGTTTGAATTGGAGGTTACGTATGCTGGTTGCCACATAGGAAGAATGCGATGCCATGTGTAAGAGCGTGGAACACTACGAGACACCAATCATTTGTCATGACAGCCAATATGATGGGCAAATACTACAAGACAGTGAGAACATTACAAACACCGAAGCCAGCTCAGTGCTGGACTTGAGGAAGGCTATGCATCATTTGATTTAACGGTTCCATCAGTTCCATGACAATTTTCTGACTCTTTCTTGGTTGTCATTAAGGTTTGATGTTACAGACAATATGGATGGGAGTATCAAGATAGATCTAAGAATAAAGTTGAATTGCACTGCATATGGAAGCTAGCATGACATGGTAAAATGCTAGCTTCTCTCAAAGAGAAGATAGGTAAGAGAAGAACCTTGCAAGATATTCCAACAGAGTCCTCTTTTTTTCAGGTCACATGGTCGAGGACATCATTCCTGTCAAAGCACACAGCTTTAGCTGATTTGGAAGTTAGTTTGATGGACATCATTTCTTGGTCATTCAAGCATGCCAAGGCTGCTTGAGTGACCAAGAATTTCTTGGCATTACTTTAATGATTGCAACAACACATTGTTTATTTAATGGAGAAGGGGGACGTTATTGAAGGTCCGAATGCCAAAGGTTGAAGTCACTGGTGGCTCCTTACTAATCAACAGATCAATAATGGAAGGCAAATTTGACTTGGATCGAGCAACATTGTAATCATTTCATGGAGAGAGATTATAGTTCCTGTGGAGTCGAAATTCTTGCAGTTTTCACTATTGTTTCCTCGTGTTGGAGTGATCCTTGTCCTGGATTCATCCGGTCGAGCCTCAGATCCAGTTGATAGCTAGACAGAAAGGAGGTGTAGAAGTTTTTATTTCTGGGTACTCGTTCTACACAGCTGAGCTACAAATTGTGCAAGGTACACATGAACTCCAGAGGAAGATGATCATGATGATGATGATGAACTAAGCTGTCACCGATGTCTCCATTGCAACCTTGCCCGAGTACCGAATGCTGTCTGATTTCTCAGCCTCCTCCCACAGCTCAGGCAATGCTTCCCTCATGTTGTGGATGCTCTCCAGAGCGTGATCAGCGCCTTTGACTCTATGCCGAGTGCCCACCTGGATCATCCACGAACGCAAAGTCCAGTGGCTTTCAATCTATGAGCTCCGATAGGTTTCCAATGGAAGAGATTTGGATTTACCAGCACAGTGTGCAGACCGATGCGTTTCCCCGCCTGAATGTTCCGCACGCTGTCATCGAAGAAAACCTGCAACACATCGCAAACCACAGTTAGCAAGCGTTCCGATGCAAGTCATCTTCCCCGACGAGATGCGAGCTGCGTCTTACTGTTCTGTGGGGGTCGATGTTGGCGATGCTGAGAGCGCGCTCCATGGCGTCCGGCGATGGCTTGCACAGCACCGGTGTCCTCGGCAGTGCAACTCCGGCAACAGGACGAGCGAAGTGGTCGACGATGTCGAAGACTTCGCTTGAGGTTTCCGTTCCACGGGAAGAGGTCGGTGGGTTCAGAGTCTCGAAGCATATGATTCCTTCGAAACAGTCTTCCAATCCCAGCTTCTTCAGCACTTTGGCAGCGTGCGCTTTGTCGGCATTCGTGAATACCTATTTTGCAGGCGAAAGATCCATGAATTAGATGATGGATGCAGAGAAAGCTTGGCTGTGTGACAACTCTCAGCATCGACGGAAGCACTCACGACTTTTCGAAGCGGAAGGCTCAGGAGGAGTGGCCCGAGCACAGGATCGGCCTTTAGATTCTCGTATGGCAATCTTCCATGAACGAATCTGTCAAACCATAGGAGGGAAAGTTCAATGGTTGCTCTACTAGCTTTAACAGAAGGAGCATAGCAAGTTTGAAGTGAGAAGAACCTGTGGTAATCGTCATAGTCGAAGCTGTAGCCGATGGCCTGAGCAACACAAGGAAAACGTCGGCATAAGCACAAGAACAAAGTCTGCCATGAAACGTAAGCGAAAAAGAAGAGCAGCTTGCGTTCTCGGATTACCCTCAGACCAGCCATCGTCGTCCCGTAATTCTTGTACAGTAGATTACACAAGTCCGATATCTTGCTCTCCTCGATCCCAAGCTTCTCAACCAAATAATCTGAAGACAAAGAAAGGTACCGCAAACTCCATGGACTACAAAGACGACAGAGAGAAACCAAGAACTAAAGGCGACGGCGCGTTGTTATACCTCCAATGTTTCTGCGGCACTCGGCGGCGATGCCGGAACTCAACGGGTAGAGCGTGTCGTCAAGATCTGGACGCGCGCACGAAAACAATGGGGAATTTATGTGCTCAGAAAAGCTCGAAAGGCCTCATCTTTAATCGCCTTGGTAATCTGTAAGCTACAAAACAAGATCTTGGGAGGACAAAAAGATCAAGAAGACTTACCGAAGAGAAGGCAATCATATTTAGGACTCTGAATCTGTCGGTATCGCTCTTCATATTCCATCTTCATCTATTACAGACGATTCAAATGATCAACTAGCAAATCGTATACATTAGAAGAAGAGCAAATCATGATCCAAATGCAACCATGTGTCTGCAGCTGTCTCTATGAGAATTGGGTCTGAAGCTTACAATGCAGAACGGATCGCTGTGCAATGGAAGCAAGAGAGAGGTCGAGGAAGCTGGAATTCTTCTCTCCTTCCTCTAAATGAAACAGAGAAATGGAGGTCGGAGGCGGCGGAGAACGGTTGCGGAGTGGGCGGCTTAAATGGGCGACACGTGCCGCCCTCTACCCCGTAATTAGCAGCCTAAACAACAGTAATCGTCTTGCTAATTACTTACTAAGCGAAATAAACATACAAGTTGACCGTTGACTCAGAATGATTTACGCGAATTGCCCTTTCCTTTCCATGAGCAGGAAGAACATGAACCGTTCAGATTAGGTTAGACGGTGGAGATGGAGCAAAATGGACGAGATATTTAGACAACCGTGGGTTTCTTGGAAGCTTCTCCATGGTTCCATTACATTCATCATAAATCAATGTGTTCATGAAATTTAATTCACTGAAGAAAAGATTTATAACGTTAAGTAAAACAGATTAACTCGAGAAAAATACATTAATGTATGTGAATTCCTTGATGTGATGTTGCCAATGTTGGTTAAGCTAATATAGATTTATTTTCTTTAACAAAGATAAAATCTTATATGAGTCGATGGTTGATGAACTCCACAAAGGGGGTTTTGCTGCTGCCTCTCATCATTGACTGACTGACTGCCTCATCATCGACACACAGACACACGTATCTCTGACAGTGGGGTACGGTGAAGAAACCCTAGAAACAAGTCCTTCGGTGGGTGATGCAAGCTGGAGTCCAGCAGCAGGTGCTGCATCATTTGGGACCATCCATATAATGCAGTCTTGATGACTCCAATCATGAGGTCTCAGGAAGTACTCGAGACATATGGTTTCAACCAAACGCCACAAAAGCAAAGCAAAGCAAAGTGGGTGTTTCAAATCATGCTTAGGTCTTATGGTCTCCAGGAAGTTCTTATGCCTTTTGTGTTTCAAATCACAAAAGCAAATTGGATGCAATGGCATCCATTATACTGTATATCGTGCCAACCTTTTAGGAAGCTAAACAAGGATCCATGCTGCTTGTGGAGGGGGAAGGTAGTAATTATATGACAAGAAATGTCATACGAAGATGGACTATAAGGTTTGGTTCGAAAAGGAAAGGTATAAATCTAATCTTTGTATTTTTTGAATCGAACGTTACAGAAATCCTAATCTATCTTTATAATTGAATAATATATGATTAAGCATAAATTAATAATATACAATCATCATATCTTTGTAGTTGAATCTAAATTTTTATATGCTTTCGATGTGAGATTAAATGAAGCATCACAATATCCTTCACTTAAAAATTTGATATCCTTGACAAGGCTTAATATAACCCAAAAATTTAGTGATTCTATATCATCACATGTCCTCTAGTCTCGAGTAATCCTTTTCTACTTAAGCCTCTTGTGTGAATGTTAGATCGACTCTAATATTATCTATGATGACTCAATTTAATAAGACAACTAATCTATTAACTTATTGAGTTTGAACCACTCATATAAAATGCTTAAGTACAAGTTTACGGTAACATATTCAACGTATCTTTATAATTTTTTCTTTTTTTGTTGTAAAGGATAAAAAATAAAAATAAAATTTGAGCCCAAAACCTTATAATAAACTATCAAAGTCTTTACCGACTAAATTAACTAATACCTTCAATCCTTATAAACATCGAATAAAATATTAAAAAAAGAATGGTCCAAATTTTGAATATACAATCAACTCTCAATTTTAAATCAGCAATTAAAAATCTAAGTTGTTAAGAAAGAGTTCAATATATTTATTTTATAAATTTTAATTTTATATATATAGCAAAATATAATTTGTCGTCTTCTATATCAAAGCCTGACAGCTAAGTATCTGACATATATACCTAATGACTAGTTTATCCCTATGCTTACATTTGCCGGCAACCAAATCTTTGAAAGCGACTAGCGTGTCGTCGTTGCCTGCAATCGCCGGTGCAATTATAAGGTGTTGCCAAGATCAGATCTATCAACCATCCACACTAAACATAATCCTCGAAGCACTTTTGGCGTGTAGGCCATAAACAATCAAGGAAGCAACCTGTGAACGCTTACTGGAACTTCCCATTCAGTGGCAACAAATAGAAGGAGCGATAGATACCCTCGGGACTTTTTTTTGTGAAGACTTCCACCCTACTCTGTGACGATGACTTCTAAAAGATGTCTCAGTTCTGAGCTACCAAAGTCATCAAGTAGTGTTAGCAGAAACGATATACCAGCAAACAGCAACTATTATACATGACAAGATGCATACCGAAAGAGTCTTGCATTAGTATATAAATCCTGTCCTAAAAGAAAGCATGGATAAGAATAGAGGCAGCTCAATCAATGGTTAGAGAGGGCAGTGGATCAGACACCGTCCTCATGATTGTCCAATCTCTCGCCAACCACAGACAGTCAAAGGAGATTCCAGCATTCAGCAAACCACACAAAGCTCCAAACCATTGAGGTCTTAAAAGGTGACGTAAAATCCTGCGCACACATGAGCCCGACAAAACTCATTATTGAATCTCTTGTATCAAAAGCATCTGCTTAGAGATGAGGGTCGATATAAGTACCACCAACAATGTTTTTTCTCTCATGCAGATACTCGTTTGTACAGTTCCTTCATCTACATTGACAAATGAAATCTGAAGTGTGTAAGTCAACAAAATTATACATCAAAGACAGCTGTAGCTACGTCGGCACAACTTCCCCATTGAGCGGTGATGAACCATCATCCTCCAATGCTGCATCCTCTGGAAGATTGTTGCTTGTGTTATCCTCGTCTTGAAAACCTTGAATGAACTTATCGTAGTTTGTTGGTTCGCTAGATACGAACGGGCGTTCCCCTAGGACTCGGACCAAGTCTTCTTGATGCAGCACCTCCTTCTCCAATAGCAGCTCAGCAATCTGGATAACGTGATCCTTGTGCTCCTTTATCAATGCAACAGTTCTCTCATAGGCTTTCGATACCCATTCTCTCACCTCTTCATCGATGATGGCCCCAGTCTTGCTGCTATAAGGCTTAGTCATCTCGAGTGTATCGTCTCTCTGGGGGAACGAAAGGAGCCCAACCTTGCTGCTGAAACCGTAAACTGCCACCTGAGCGTAGGTCATCTTGGTCACTTTCTCGAGGTCATTTTGGGCTCCAGTAGAAATCTTCCCCAACAGAACCTGGTAGTGAGCATATTAAAACATTTTCTTTTGTTCTTTAGTAACATAGTATTCATGATAATACAAAGCTCAAACAGCATTATTAAAGTGATTAAGATCACGTTTTGTGACATCTATGCCAATCATAAATCATTGTATTGTAAATGCATATAAAGAACAGATGGATATCCACATGTGCAAAAGGGCACCTGAGATCATCAGCCTAACCTTTTTCAGCAGGGTCGAACCAGGAACAATCATTTTCAGCAGGGCCAAACCAGCAACAAGATAGATGTGTTCTTTTTAAAACTATGAAGTCTTTGCTTGGTGCAGGAACTTCATCCCATAAAATTGTATGTTTTAAGCCATGTTCTTTAGTCAGTAAAATAAATCCAAAAATTATAATCAGAATATGACCCAAGAGATAGTTCTGACAAGTTACAGAATCAACTTAATTGGTTATTTAAGTAGGAGTCCCTTCAAAAATTATGAATGATTACCAAGTAATTCAAGTAGGTTCTATAATATCATTATAGACATTATAGTGCTATAAACCGTATAGAGAAGCTCACTGGACAGTCAAACACTGACTTATGACCTTCTTGATATTCAGTCATCAGCCATATATCAACTAAATTTGAATTGTTGCTTATCAGAGGAACAAATACCCTACCATCCACTTCAATTAAAAAAATGTCAAATCAGTTCCTTTTGTGAAACTGTGCATGTAAATGACGAGAGCAAGAAGGGTTAACTTTACCTCTTCAGATGCACGCCCACCCAGTGTCATGCATGTCATGTCAAAGAGCTGCTCTTTGGTCAATAAGAGGTTTTCACTTGGCACATATTGAGCAAAGCCCAGTGCTGCAGTTCCACGTGGAACTATTGTAACTTTGAGCAAGGGTTCTGCATGTTCTAAGAACCATCCAGCAACAGCATGACCTGATTCATGATAAGCAACGGTTCGCCGTTCCAGCTTGCTGATTACCTAAAAACAAAATAACATGGTTGCTTACTTGCCAATATAAGGTCAGAACAATCATTCTGAAAGAGAATATTTTTGGGCCAACGTTTGAAATGAACATAAAGTATCGTCACTTTTCCATTTGGGTAAATTTATCTAAAAGACTATTGTCATAATACAGATAAGTCTGTTGGAAAAGGTAATGGTGATTCAAAGTTGTTGCTAAACAAAATATAAACACAAACAATTCACATGAAGACCAATAAAGCTTGTCAACTTTAAGTTCACTCGAAGTTGCCAACCGTAAGTTCACTCAAACTACGTGGTCAAAAAATGTACATCAACACCATACCTACAATTGCGGTCCAAAACTGTAAAATTCCTCCTTTGTGGTCTGACCAGGATTCAGGTCATAAAAGCAACCTCTCTACTTGAACATGCAAGATGAATACATTGACCCTCCCCAAACTTCAAGCTGCTGGGAGCCTCTTACTTGTTGGGTAACATAATGCTTGAATCTAAATGCAGTCCGTAGATGAATGTACTAGTTGTCTCAAAAATAATAAAAATTAATAATTTCAGTCACCCCAAATGATTTAGAAACTCTTTCATTACTATGACATACAAAAATTTCATAGATTCTCACCATCTCTTATTAAAGGCAGGAATATCACATTGATAATTCTAATTAGATTTTGATGTTAAAACCTGAAGTATAATGGCTCCAAATATATTCCAAGTGCCAAGATGATGACTTGTTTTCTCAATAATGTAAAACTCTCGCCAATCTCTCTGAAAACTTTTCTAAGAATTAATTGGTCTTCAAACTCTCCAATTGCTCACTTTTCAATAACTTAATAAGTGAAGCCTCATTCCTGATATATATGTTAATAACATTATACAGGAATATCAAGTGAACAACACACAAAATGAAATGTTGGATCAAATATGCATCCCATACTAATTGATGATATAAATTATATAAGCAATCAGAGAATCTAAGCTTATTAGGCTTTTGAACTCCTTAAACCTCACCATAATATCCGATCCATCTTGCTAGCTTGACAAAGAGAAGTTCTTCCAACACCAAAAGAAAAATTAAATTAAAATTGTGTTACCAAACTGAGTAATTTTTGTAGTTTGTCAGAACCCAATGAATCATACACCAGACAACCTA